AGAATCTCTTGATTCATTGAGAACTTCTTGTTTAGGATGCTCATAAAAATATTTGTGTTTTATTAAAATGCTTATTTGTATATTTCAGCCTTTTGCGATAGCAGAAGCCAGTATTTGGATAACAGTTAACAGATGTATTGTGCAGCCTTAATGTGTTTCTGGTCATTTTAAGTTATTGCAGGGTTAACTGTGCTAAGTGGACACTCTGGCCATCCAAACGTGGAGCACAGGACGTGTCTTGTATTCTCTCCCTCTCTCTCTTTCTCTCTTTTTCGTTCTCTACTCTTCTACCATCTCTGCTCTCACCGCCATCTGGCTGTCAGTCAGAAACGTTGAGCGGTGCGTTTTCCTGCAAGTGGAACTTGATGTGTCATCAGAAACGCAGGGCCACCGGTGAATTAAACTGTCAAAAACTGCACATCTTTTCTGAGTGGTGGGCCCACTCTCGGCGGGATAGGATAGGGCTTGTTGTGAAGAGCTTGCTAAGCCTGGAGTAAATATTACAACTCCTGTACTGTACTGCTGTCAAGATACAGCATCTTCCTAGTGGAGAAAATAAATAAAGAAATGATACATGTGTAGGCTTGCACAGAAAAGATGGAGCAAAAGAAGAGGGATGAAGGTGAGAAACCCTATTTCAAAATGCCTCCTGGTTTTGATCTTATTAACCTGCCCCTGCTATTACCCCTTGGGGCAATCCCTAAGGCCGTCTTGAGGGCTATTCCATTACTGTATTAGCTCAAGTGACCACTTTGAAGGGTGAGGGATGAAGTCGACATAAAAACAGAGGTCAACATCAAAATTGACCAGAATATACCCAGTGATACTTGTGGAATCAATGCGGAAATCAGGTCTGTGACTGTTGTTTAATCTATGCTTTATAATGCTTGAAAATTTAAAAGGTGTCCATATATAGCCATTGAAAAAATAATCAACGGAGTTGCCTTAAATACATAGATTTTTGATTTAGGGGCATTGAAAAGTTATTGAAAACATCCAGTAATGAAGCAATTTCCACTAATACACTAATAAAACACATTTCTAGTGCCACTGGGATTCTTGCTGTTGAGGCGAATGGTTGGAAGTCTTAAAAATATAAGTTTCAGTATTTATAAATGTCACTTGGGACCTTTTAAAAAGATGTAAATTCCATTATCCATAAATGTTACATCAAATAAAAACATACTTATTGTTATAACATGAAAAAGTAAGTAACACAACTGCCTTAACTTAAGTTTATTGCACATTACATAATTACATAATTATTTAACAAGTTTACATAACAGAATGTTAGATAAAGTTTTCTTTGTTAACTTACCGTTTGATGTCCAATACAAACTTGTAGGTCAGCTGCAAATAATTATAAACTACATTTAATTAAATTGCAAAACTTGGATATTTACATGTTCTTAAGTATTTTATGCATTCCTGGTACTAACCGAGTATCTAGGACTAACTGTTCAACATTTTTCAGATTGTTTGTTCAGTCAACAACAGATGTTAAAGTCTGGCTTAAATATATATATATATTTTTTTTTACAGTAGTTCAGGGAATTTTATCCATCTGTCATGTTTGTGAATTCAACACAGTTTTGAGCTTTGGTAATCAGTTGTGGTATATACATGGCAGGTAGAGATTATGTTGAAAAAACACACTGTCAGCAGTGAAAATAATAATAAAACAAACTGTTTATACAGTTATCCCATAATGAACCAATTTATTAATCTATTTATAATACAATGTAGGATTAAATAAAGAATGTGTATTAAAGTAAGAATTTGCATTTGTTTTAATGATTGGTCCCAATGTAAACATCAAACAAAACAAAGGTAACTGGGCACGTAGCTGAAAATGTTTTGTGAGTTCACAGATTCAGAAACATATTATTATCGTTAATGCTATAGTAATATTGCTGGTCTTATAAGTAATTATAAGCTGGCTAAAGATGTGAGGACATCAGAAAGATCCATGCTGAAAAAATAACAGCTCCTAATTTTAGACAAGTTGGAAACAGTTCCTGTCTAACTGACTTTTAAAAACATTGAGTTTATTTAAAGGTAACTGAAGAACCTTTTATAGCAGAATTTGGATTCTGCATTAACATTCATAAGTCCCAGACTGACTATTTTTAAACAGGAGAGGATGTAGATGCAAAGAGTAGTTATGAGAGTGAAAAATTGAAATTTGGACCCGTTGACTGGTCCTTAAGAGGTAAGATGCTTCATAGTGTAGCTGACTAGTCTGAGGTATTAATTCTCATAATGCCCTCAGCCACAAAATATAATTGGACAACAAACAAGATTCTTGTAGAAGCACATGTAAGGCTACATGGCGGAGCTGGACGATATGGCAAAAGTATAATATCACGATACTCGATAAGAACTTTTGTGATACACAGTATGCGGCAATATTTTTTCTGACATCTGATAAGTTTGAACGGACAAAAAAAAAAGTGCCACGGATAAAAAATAATAATCAAAAACAAAGAATACAGAGATTGTGTTCAAAATTTGACATGCTGTACTGCAGTATTTCTAATTAAACATCACTAATTATGGCCTCTTTGTAATGCAATATGCACCTGGTCCATGCTCACAGAATAATATTGTGCATATTGTGATGTAATATATCATGATAACAATAAATATGGTCATATCGCCCCGGCCCTGCTACATGGGTTCATGCACTTGTTAGCTAATTACAGAGCTAGCTAGCATATGTTTTACCTCAGTTAAGGGTTGCTAGATTATAACTACTTGGTAGATATTCTAAAGGCAAGGAAAAACGTCTAAACTGATATTAGTGGGTTTTATTCAACTAAACAGCCCTTTTTCTAATGAAGTTACTGTTATTTTTTACATTAGTAGTAGAAAGTACAGACAGTACAGACAGTAGAAAGTAATTTTTTGAGTTTTGTCTTTCTTTCCTGCTGGATTCTGGTAGATAAAGACCGAGGTAATTTTCCTGTTTCCTGCATTGAACTAGGATTGTGATGCTAGTGACATAGTACTGTGGCCATTTTAGTAGAAGATATGATGAGATCCCTTCAAAGCTTAAAGAGTGTTCCCTTTCTCTTTAGAATCACACATTTATTAACTGTGATTTATTCATTGTTTTTTTACTTAACAGATGGACAACCTGTTGCTGGACAACTTTTCATACACTTTGAATTCACTGTCTTTTTGTATTTCAGTTCCAATTTTTTATGTTATGTGTACACATGATCTTAAGTGATTAGTAGTTTAAGTTCCTGTGCTCTTAAGTGTTTTCCAGTGATAGGTTTTTATTTTATAAAATCTACCTCTTATACTACCCTTATAGTAGTATTTTGTATTTGTGTTTTTGCTTTGTAGTTTTCACATTTCTTTCTCTAGTGTTGAATAGGGTTGTATGCGTCTACTCACTGACTTGATTTATCACAGCTGGAGGGAACAATCTGGTGCCAAACTCAGCCGAAATACAAGAGACCAGCATTTTGGAAATGTCAAAAACACAGTTTAGACTGCTTTCATAATTCAGAATGTACCTCATTTGCCAACAGTGATATAAAAGAATACTTCACCAAAACCAAATTAACATGGCAGTGAGTTCAAGTTAGTGGGCACCAACTAGCATGATCTCATTAGCGTTGTGCTGACTGGCTCCTACTAGCTTTCATTCATTATTAATTTTAAAAGTCAGATGTCAAACGTATGTGCTAAAAGAATATTTCAGATTTTTTCGACCTGATCTTGATCTGCCACATCTGTAGTGTATGATTGATTATCATGGACAATACCACGGTCCAAGGGTGGCCCCAGACTTTTTTTTTTACAGGGATGCTAAAACGTTTGATGGAGGAGCTATACTTGTGGCTGTTGTGGTGGCAACGAGCAAATGAGAAGAAAATCTTGCCGGGTGCTGGCCAATCAGAATCTCACAATGTGGAGCAGAAAGCCTTTTTCGTCATTTTTTTAGTTTTACTGTCAAGCTACCCATTGAAAACATTGTTGAGAAAATTCAGTGTGACGTTTTAATATTCAGACACATTTTGAGCTGAAAATAAATTGGTGAAAAAATTAATGTGAAACATGCAAACATTCAGTAGTTAATTACACTGGTTGAAATTTCGAAAAAAAACTACCAGCACTTTTACTCTTGTTTTGGTTTTCTCAAACCAGTCTTGAGATTCATGACTGATCTCAGAGCTGGTTTTTCTCTATTTGTCTCGGCAAGGTCAGAAAAACAGGCTCTCAGTCAGCTTTTTTACTCTTAATGTGATTTTTGTAGAAAACCCCTAGTAGAGCTGAACGATTTGGGGAAAAGTTCTAATTGTGACTTTTCTGACCATTCTGTTTGTCAGTTGAATTGAAATGACAACTATGTTGTATAAATTAAGTTTTTTTTGACATGAAGAACATAATATCCACTTTTCTGACTTGCAGTTCTTGTGATTTGAAAACTCAACTCTTTAAAACTGTGATTTCAATAAAAAAACGATAAATCTTTCAGCCCTTATCCCTGGAAATCTAAACATGCTACATTTGACATGCCCCCACAATGGCCAAACTTTTGTCCTGATCCCAGTAGCGCCACACTTGATTCTGATTTTTTTTCTGTTGACTCTAAACTCTCTTATAAAAGAAATCAGTAAGTTACATTAAGAAACTGCTCTTTGGCTTCTTTTATAAATGATTAGCAATTATTAGTGAGGCCCAATAGCCTCTATTATAAGCAACTGGCAAGTACAGCAACACTAGAGTACTCCTTTAATAGAGACTATCAAGAAGAGACTTGAGGACCAAAAAAGCACCTCACACCTCAACACATCCAAGACTGAACTGTTCCGTTCAATTCCAGAAACCCACACTGTGGATCTTTGATATCATTTGCTCCATTTGCTCCCTCCTTCATGTAAAGGGGAGGGGCCGCATACCTTTAATGCTTCCTTCTACCATGATCCCTGCTTACAATGAGCACCAACCAACCTGTTTTCCCTTCCTCCATGACGTTCTTTCAGGAATTACGGTGCACCGGACAGGCACGAATTTCACCACAGGTCCCGTTCGGCTGACCAGCGGCCCGCTATGGAACGTTCCATGTACACCCGCTCCCGCTCCACAGAGCGACCCCCAGACGGCCACCACATGAGATCGTCCATGCCCACCCTGCCATCCGGACACTCTGCGCCACCCTCCCCCGCCTTAACGAGGTGACCCAGACCAGAGCAGCCAATTCCACCTGCTCGGCTGCCCCAACTAATTGATAAACCACGCACCATCCCTCCCCCTCGCTCCTCCCACCCGATCAGCCAATCAGCCACTCCCTTTTTTTCTGTTCCACAGCGGTGCTTTTCCGTTTTTTGCAGCAGTGCTTTTACTTTTGCACCAGCCCAGCCACTCTACACCGTAGTATCACTAGATACTAACATTCTTCTTGTAGTTTCTACTTGTTTTGTTTTTCATTGTCAAAGCACACCACTTATATTCAGACTGAGTATAATGGTGTTGAGTTTCCATTGATCGTTCCTTTACTAACATGACCAAATGTATGACTCATTTTTTATTTCGTTTTCTATTTCTATTCTGTTTGTTATGTATTCAGTGGTTCATTCAATTTATTCCCTCCATAATGAAGAATGTGGTTAAACACAGCTCTTTTCTTGCAGCGACACAGTGGGAGATACAGTTTGCTGTGCCAAAACATTTTTTTTATACAGGCAGTACTACAGACAGTATTGTTTTGTTTGATTTGGTAGATGACTTGATTTTTTCCCTGCATAGCTCTACTATAATTTTGTTTGCATGCTCTTCTTTAGTGCTATTTCAGAGTTTACGTTAATGTAGAAAGAGTTTATTTGAAAACATTGTGCAGAATTCTTGGCTTTTTTACTTACTTGCTTGCAAAACTAATGCTAAAGTAAATGTTACTAAGTTATCTTTTGAGCAGAATGATACTTAGAGTAAGTTAATTCCTGATTCAGTTTAAGCAGTATGTTTTGCACAATGTTTTCAAGTTATCCAATTTATTTTTAAGGTGCATTTATCTACCGAATTAACCGTCAACTGTCACTGGGAAAAACAGCTTATTATTTAGGAGCTAAAGTCACTTTTATTCTATATTGTATATTTTTGCAGGGGTTAAACATTATACTTTTAACATCAGCTGCACAGTTGTTTCTCTGTATACGTATAGACCTCTGAAATCCTGTCATCATTCTGTAGTCGGCAACATGCCCATATTAGGAACTCTGGGTCTAAGCTTGTTTTCTCTATGACAAAAGTAAATGGCATGGTGTTGCATCCTGTGGTAGACTAAAATGTTCTGCTTTGTCAGATGTGCTAGTTAGGTTGCATTGGCAGTAGCGCACAGTTTGAGTAGCCAGTGTTGCTATACAATTATGAAATATACCTTAATTGCTCACATTTAATAGTAGATTTACATTTGTACGTGTCATTTCAATGAACAGGCGTTTTTGCTTGCTTTGAAGCATGTATGTAGTATCATTTTTGTTCACCACAGAGTGCGACAAAAGTGATTTTTGAAAAAAAACATTTATTTTTCTCATAGAGAAAACCTGCTTAGAAACTATACAATGTTGCATGACTTCAGAAGTATGTGTGGGAGTATATAAATATATATACATAAGAAAAAAAACTGCACATTTCGGGGCTCTTCAATACTCCACAAAGGTTTGGCGTTTTCCTCCCTGTTTTGCTGACACCATTTGTTAAAAAGGGTTGCCAACATGAAGCATGCAGTTTCTGTTTGTGTTGCATCTGCCTCTACAACCTCTCAGCATCAAAAAGGCTGTGCATGGTCTTGTTTCTTTTCAGAATATCTATATATGTGAACCAGCATATATGTGAATGATTGCTGCAATCATTTTTCAGCTGACACTTCTCAGTCCCTTCATTTTCCTCATAGAGCAAATCTTAGTATCCTTACATTTGAATTGCACTGCAGTAACACTGACGTGGTGGTGGTGTGTTAGTGTGTGTTGCGCTGGTCTGAGTGGATCAGACACAGCAGTGCTGTTTTGGTTTTTAAAAAACCTCAGTGTCTCTACTGGACTGAGAACAGCCCACCAACCAAATATATCCAGCCAACAGGGTCCTGTGGGCAGCATCCTGTGGCCACTGATGAAGGACAAGTACTTTAAGTTTATTACTAATAACTAGGTGGTTCTCATTTGTGGGCCTGGAGTTCCACTGCCCTGCACATGTTGAGGTTCAATTTATGCACTAATTAACAAGTCTTTAATGAGGTGAACAGACTGTGGACTTGTTTGGTTTTGGCTTTTGTGACAGTGTATTTTTTATTTGGTTTCACATTGCAACAGCTAAAGTACTCCAAATTATACATCAATTAATCACTTATTGGTCAGGAATGTGGTAGGGAAACAAACACTGCGCTACTTTCATATTTGCCTCCATTAGTGCCAAATATAAAATCCCATCCTATACTCTATCCCTCCCATACAGTCATATACAAATTTTGCCCTAGTTTAGATTAAAGTTTTGTTGATTGAAGTGAGAAAAAGTTAACACATCCTCTACAGAGAAGACACTTCTGCACATCTTATTGCAGAATTACTGTCTATTTGCTGAATTCAACAAAACGGAAAAATAAAATAAAACATAAAATGTAGTCTGTGCAAAAATTGTAAAATTTTATATTTTTTATGTTTTATTTTTTCCAATGTGTTAAACAAAGAAATAGAAATTGTGCACTAAAACTTGCAGGGAAATTCCATGTTTAGGTTTGTTCCCTGTAAAGGATGTGTGTTTTTTGAAGAGTCAATTTTTGTAACAGGCAGATTATACAGACAGTACAGCACTGAAGAACAGAACAGAAGAACGGATAAACATGTTCGATGCTGGACACTGATTTGGTGAGAAGCAACGTAAAAATATGGTTTTCAGGTTTACTTTGAAGCGGACCTAGACCCACAGATTTCGGCAGTTCATGGTCCAAACTACGGAAAAAGTTTCATACATCCAAACCAAACAAGAGCAGCTTAGAGCTCTACAAGATGTAGGGCAGAGGTACTCCAGCACCAGGGTTAAGAACCACTGTAATGGTAAGGTTAATAACTTTAAAACCTATGGTTAAATAGAAGTAGTGTTTAGTAAAGGCAGTGGTTCTATTTAGAACCATGACTCATACTTAAATCGTTCTTCAGATTGATGGAGAATGTGTTGTTTATGGTTCTGTATAGAGTCTTTATGAAAATGTTTCTATATAGCACCAAAAAGGGCTCTTCTTTCGTTAAAGCTTGACATCCTAACAATAGCAGAACCCTTTTTTGGTGCTATATAGAACCATTTTCAAAAAGGTTCTATGGAGAACTATGTACAACACGTTCTTCATCAATCTGAAGAACCATTTTTAAGAGTGTAGATGGACAGAAATAGAAAGTGTTATGATGAATTTCACCTTGTAAACCAGGTAGAAGACAACATGGATAAAGTTTGTAAGGTTCATGTCTTGAAAGCCAATAAAAGGAAAGCAGTGCGGATGATTAAAGAATACTGCTTATTAATGTACACCAGCAGAACATTGAGTGACACTTTACTGTAGAGCAGTGTTCATAAGGCTACATGATGGCTACATAAGCCTTTCAACTTTGCGTATACCTATACAAACTATTGTAAAGGCCTATTCCAAGAAGCGTCAAAATAGTTGAAATGAGATGAATTAAGATGTAAATGAAGATGGGCTACAGCGCCTTTATGACAGCTGATGTTTGCTGGAATAAGCCTTTAAGAATGTTAATGTAGGTTTATGCCAGTTGTCATAAAAGGCTAACAAAGATGTCATGTAGCCTTACGAATGCTGCCCTTTAGTATCAGGTATTGGTTTTGATATAGTTTTTTGGACAGGCTATTTCAAAGAATATAGGCAAGTCAGAATTAGCTGAATAATGTTGATTGTAGAAATACAAAGACTAATTCTTTTATTTTACTTATTAATTTGTTTCCTGTATCTAATGGGATTAGCATCTCTGCTTATGCAGTCTCTAGCTCATCCTCACATACACGGAAGCTTCCAGCTGTAATGAGGTGCTGTTTGTGTGTGGCAGGGCGCACCCCCGCAGCGGATCGGTCCAAACCAGTCCCACCAGCACGCCCATGAACAGCAGGAGAGGCCGGCAGCTACCACAGCTGCCTCCGAAGGGAACACTAGAGAGAAGTAAGTCATTTTCAGTTTTGCATTTACATTGTTTTCCAAGAAGATGGTGGAGCGATTTGTTACTGAGGGTTATTCTATGGAATTGATCCTATTTTCTTTGTCTTCTTTACCATCACAGTTATCTTTCATTTGCATATGTTGGACTGTGTTTACATTGGAATATTATCTGTGACGCTATGGAAAAATTTATCGGGTGGTCAGATTTTTGGTGGGAACCTTTAATAATATCACAACATTGAACAGGCCGTATTTCCACGGCATGGTTGCCACACTTTATTATGAAAATTCGATTGTGTGCATTCAGCCAGTGTTTCAGTACTTTTATCCAGAAAAGTTTCAGTGATTTGGACTTGACAAGCTCATGACTTGATGTTGGACCTGTACTTGATTTGATGTTCAAAGTTTAATAAAACAAGCCGATCCATTTGCTCTCTGTGGTGAGTAGCATATCAGGGCCTGATAGGATCACTTTGTAGCCAGTTTTAAGCAGATATGTAATATCATACATATTGAAGCACTGGGGGCTGAGCTGCCCAGAATTTTTTCAGTTTCGGTTAATGTTTATTGTTGAAAAAGAAAAACTAATGTTATTAATTAAAAGTTAATAAAATTAAAGTTTTTGTACTATATTAATCTCATGCTAAAGGTTAGGTTTGGATATATTTTACATGATTTAACCATGACTGTGTTTTCTGTTCATCAGCTCAGTCTCTATTGCTGTCATATATTTAAACAGGAGGTGTGTCATATTGGGTTCCCTAGTTGTATAACTGATACTGTTAAAACTGGTTGTCAATATCAGCCTAGATTCTAGATTCTTCTCTAGATTCTCGGCTAAGTGATAAATCTAATCGCACATGTGTCACTACTTAAGTGTAGACACACTTTTGAAGCATAGAATTGCCACAGTCATTACAGTTTATGTGCATCTTATAACAACAACTGTGAATGGCTTTTTTATTTTTGCTGCTGTTGCTGGTGCATTTTGTCTGTTCCAGTTTGTTTGCAAACTTCAGAAAAACTGAATATCACAATACAAAGTGTGAATATTCATGTGTCATAATGTTGTATTAATCGTGTTGTCCATCCTTAACTAAGACTGTACAAGACTGTGCAAAAGTCAGACACTACCTTTCATTTATTTAATTTACAGTCAAAATGGCTGTCCAGTACAAGTTCAGTCTTAGAAGTTGTTTGGTTTTATTTTCTGCTTCTCACAATCAAAGTAATCCCAAACACATTCAGTGATGTTGAAGTCTGGACTCTGGGAGGCCAGTCTGAGAATATGAGCAGTTTCTTTGTTTAATTTTCAAATTTTCTTCACTTTTCCTTTTCTCACCTCTTGACAGCTACACATCCTTTCTGACTTACAGTGTTGAGTTGTTTCTCACAGTGGAAGGATGGACAGAAACACCTGTGGATCTTTTCAGATCTGAAGCAAGAGTGGAGTTTGTTTTTCTCCTTTCTCTCAAAGATGAAAGCTTTAAATGCTGTTTATCTGACAGTAACAGTTATGGTGGTGCACCAGGTATTTTCATTTAATTTCCTCTGTATCTTTCATTCATTTTTTCCACTCTTTCACTTTTTTGTCTCTGACTTTTGCACAATATTGTACATTTAATGCATTTTATCCTTGAACTGATCACTGGTGACTTGGGACTTGACTCAGACTGGACTGAGTCACTGGACTTGATCACAACACTGCTGTCAACCCATTCGTTCGTCATTGACCATTGGTTGTTTGAGTGTTGCTGGTGGCACACATGGTTGCAGTGGGGCCATGCATGGTCTGGCACCAGCCAGTGCATGAGCATCTGTTTTTCATGACCTCCCTCTCGTTTCTCTCCCAGAAGATGGACGGGAAGAAGTCGAGCCGTATCCAGGTCTGTAGCCTGCTTGTCTGGGTTTAGCCCCTCAGAGTCAGTTTCTGCTATGAGCTAAACCCATCTGCAATAGCCAGGAGCCATAGCTTTGCATGCAGGAGCCAAGTCAGTTTTCAGTTTGCTGCCCTAATGCTGTTCACCTTGGAGGAGAAAGCTTTTCAGTATTAAGTACGAAGGGGCGATGTTTGCTCACTCAGATTGACACAAGTATCAAGGAATAATTTAATAAGCATGCTAATGTGCTAATAGAGCCTATTGAACTATAGAGCTGATGTCTCTCACAATTAATGGAATGTAGCATGGCCAACAATGAGTGAAAGCGAGCGTAACGGCATCTGCCCCGTTAGCTTTCGGTAATTATTTATCACTGTTTTGGGAGAAGTATGCCTTTAATGGAGCCAGGGCTATTGCAGGCAGTCCATGATGAATGTGTGTGATTGTGACAGAAGGTAGATGTGTTGTTTTGTCATTTCTCTTTTAAGTGCTGCGACCATGTCAATGTTGTGATAAAACCAAATGCAAATGTCCTCAAACTGTCCTGAGAAAGAAAATACCTTAAAGGAATACTCCAGCATTTATCAACATCATCTCTGTGTGCTGCTTCTGTGGGGTATGGCTGATTACCATGAATAATAGTTTCGAGGCTTTTCCATGTACTTACATTTCTAATAAAAGCCAATAGGCAGCTGCTGAACCATCTGCCTATTGACAACTATTATAATCATTTTTAAGTCAATGGGTTTTCTGAGAAATTAGTATCTGTAGTAATCAGACATGTTCACAAATCAATATATGTCAGTCAGAGTGGTGTCTCAGTTCACTGAGGTGTGAGTCCAAATCGAGTCTCAAGTCTTTAGTACAGAATTTTCATTTGTTTTCGTTATTAGCTGCAGGCATTGCATTTTACTGAAGTAAACTTCAGATAACGAGCCTTTCATTATAGAAAAACCTTCAGTCTGAAGGACATAACTAAAGCGCTACACTCAGTAAATGCAGCGTTTAAAGAAAAGAGGCACGTCTTGAAACAGTTGCTTAGTCCGTAGTTTATATAGCACATGAGCTAGCTAGCTCAGTAACTAATCCGGTTGTAGTTTTCTTAAGGTTTGAAGGAATGTTATCTGTAATTTGCTAAAACTTTAGCTAGATTAGCTAATAACTTAAGATAAAATAGCTAGTGCACTAGCTAGCATACTTACTATCCAAACTACATGCCTACAGTTTCAAGTTGTTTTGCCTCTTTCTTTTAGACACTGCATTTACTGCAAATAGCTCTTTGTTCTGTCTATCCAACTGATGTTTTTTCTATGATGAAAGGCTTGTTATTCGAAGTCAGATTGAATCTAATGCTGCTGGAGAACAGCACACACTGACATGTGTTAGTGTGTGTTGTGCTGGTACGAGTGGATCAGACACAGCAGTGCTGCTGGAGTTTTTAAACACTGTGTCCACTCACTGTCCACTCTATTAGACACTCCTACCTTGTCAGTCCACCTTGTAGATGTAAAGTCAGAGACGATAGCTCATCTGCTGCTGCACAGTTTGTGTTGGTCATCCTCTAGTCGGTTCATCAGTGGTCACAGGACGCTGCCCACAGGACACTGTTGGCCGGATATTTTTGGTTGGTGGACTATTCTCAGTCAACATACGACACAAGTCTTTGATGGTAATTGATTGTGTACCACAGATGGAGCAGATACTGGAGTATTCCTTTAAATGCTTTTATAGATTATTTTTATTACAGAAACTGTGATGCTCTCATGAGAAATATAGGTGGATATAAGTGCATCTGTTTTTTTGCTGGTGTCAATAGATTGCCAACCTAATGTGGGTTTCGGTACAATGCAATTATAGTTCTTTTTTTGCTCATTATTGAAATTACTTCCCTCGGGGCCGTTCATTGAATTTGTTGAACAGTCCCTCCGCCTCATAAGCACCGCCTAGAGCCAGTCCTTCGAAACGTGTTCCGCACAGCAGGCGAAAATGACGAGCTTGCATTTTCTAAGACAATTAGCTTTGTACCTATTGGAAAAACCTGTCTTGCATGAGAATGTGAATGAGAGGCTGTGTGCTTGTGTATGAAAGAGCAAGAGACGGTGGGTGGAGAGGGGGGTGAGAGAAAGAGATTCAGTGCCTTAGGGGCTGTCAGATCCCTGAGAGAAAACCTTTCATCACTGTCAAAGCACGTGAGTGTTCAGCCAGCCAGCACTAGCAGCCTTGGCACTGTGTGCATCCACCCTTACTGCATGTACAGTGCATGTACAGTGGATAGCATGGACTGCTGTTCTGTGCACAGGTCACTATTGTGGATGAAAATCTTTGAAGATGGTTATACAATGTTAGTGAATACTGGAAATAACAGCTGAATATATGCTGACTAGTGGTCAATAGGCAGTTGACAAAGCAGCAAGAGGTCAGCATGGGGTCAGCCTACCGCTGTCTGGTCTGCAGGAGTGACCGCTGTTTAAACTTCACGAATGTACTCTAGATGGGGTTCAGTTCACCTATAAAGTCTGAAAACAGAGAAAACATAGTTCTTTTGTTCAGTAGCTAGTGTATAGCTGGTGTATAGCTGGTGTATAGCTGGTGTATCCTGTTTTTCCTATTTTTAAGCTTCAGGCAATGTAAATCTAATAGTTTCATAATTAGCCTAGTGTTGATCTTGTACACAGTTAGCATGTAGATTAGGTTAAGAATTGGTAGCTTTATAATGTCCTCATGTACTTCGAGAGAGTTTCTCCCTTCAGGTAAAATGGATGGTCCCCTGCATATAGCTTATATGATCTTTACACTCACCAATCACAAGACTGATGTTGTTTGGTTGGTATATAGCTTTCAACAGAACAAAGAATTCTCACTAGAGCAGTCTCACTGACTTTAAAGAATGAAAGCAAACTACCAAGCATAAGCAAATAAGCAAGGGATAGCAAACTATCAAGTGAAAGCTACGTAGCAAGAAAAGGTAAATTAAAGAGAGATCGCAAAATTAGTGACTGAAAGCAAAATAGTGAGTAAAAGCCACCAGCAAATGAAAGCAAACTAGCATACAGAGAGTAAGTAGAAAAAAAAACTAGCAAGCAAAAGTCAGTTAGCAATGAATAGCAAACTAGTGAGTGAATGTAAATGGGCAAGTGATAGCAAGTTAGTGAGTGATAGAAAAGTACTGAGTAAAAGTGACTAGCAATTAAAAGCAAACTGATGACTGAAAGCAGCCTAGCAAGCAAAAAGAAATTAGTAAGCAAAAGCAAACCAGAGAGCAAATTAGTAAGTAAAAACAAACTGGCCAGCAGAAGTGAATTAGCGATGGCTTGCAAACTCTTATGGTTAGCAAACTAGCGAGTAAAAGCAAAGCAGTATGATAAAATTAGCAAGAAATAGCAAACCAGTGAGTGAAAGGAAATTAGCAAGTAAAAACAAAGCTGCACGTGAAAGCAAACTTGCAAGCAAAAGTAAATTGGGGAAGGAAAGCAAATTCATGAGGAGAAGCAAACTTGCAAGTGAAAGCAAACATAACGAAACCGGAGTGAAAACAAGTAGTGAACGAAAGCAAACTGTCAAGTAAAAGCACACTGGCAACAGAAAGCTAACCTACCAAATCTTGCCTACTGTGGTAATTTCTCCACAACCTTTGAACACAGGTTATCTAGAACATTTGTCTGATTCTCACCATCACCATCGGTAGGTTGGTACCTATATGAATCCTGATTATCTGAGCTTGTGTGCTTGCTGCATTGTTTAGTTCTGCTTCAGTGGTGTAGCAGGCTGGAGTCTTGGACAGAGGGTTGTCAATCAGCCAAGCTCATTAGAATATTAGGCCACACCCAGACATTTCTCAGATAGGTCTGATCTTCTGTTTGTTTCTGCTTTTTTTCATTTGAACTAAGCTTTATATCTTATATTGAACTTTATATTTCAGATTGTATATCCAGGGATCATACAAAAAATAGTTTTTACATTACATACATCATTTAATTTGATCATATTTGCATATTATTTGCCATAACCTCTCCATGTGAGCTTTGTGATGTGATCATGACCGTCCATTACCTTCTGTCTCTGAACACCCAGATGAAGAGGAGGAGGATCCTGTTATATATTACTCCACCCCTGTACAGTCATTTGATGGAGTAGCAGGTGTGTCCTCCTGAGTCTCTACCCACTGTTCTGTTTAACCCTTCAAACTCTGGGCTTATTATTCAGTAACTACTGGGCTAGCTCGATCAGGATTTAACAAGCGTTGCATTCTCTTTGGCGTTCCTGATAAGTACTTGTTCGCGAAATAATTCTTAAGAACAAAAACATTTACATTTCATAATTAACCATCATGTAGAAAAAGTACGGTTGTTTACTGCCGTTCAGAATACATCCAGTAGACGACAATGAATTAATAGTTAAGACTGAAGCCTAGTCTCTTGTGCACTGTATAGTGCTGTAGGAGCCATGATTGTAGCACCATCATTCGAATACAGCTTTTATGCGTCATGTAGATGCCAAAGGCAACAAATTAAAAATTTAGAATTTATTTATATTTATGACCATCGCAGTTTTAGTTTTAGTTTGTTTGAATTACTTGCTTCACTGTTTTGTTTTGTCACAGAAAGCAGCAGTAAGTGCAGCACACGTGTTATCTTATCTGTATAGTCATAACAGTTCCTAAGTTCATAGCCATGTCTTAACTTCTGTTATTACAGAAGAATCCTAACTAGACCAAATTTCCTAAATACTGTCCGAAATTCGATTATACACTCTTGTTTCTACCATTAGCTGTTATATTCATATGGTTATTTTAATGTTTCAGGCAACTGTGACAGGCAGTGTAACAATTCACTGTAACTTAATAGTGTAACATATATTTACATTGAAAACAGCAGTTTGAACTTCACTGCAGTCGTGTTCTCCTGATTCCTCCTTGTTGATGAAAACTTGCCAAATAAAATATTGCAGTAAATAATGAGGGGACAGCGAATGTGTGGCTGTTTAATGTTAGAGCGGCTTGCAGGCCA